GTAATTTAATTTTACAGTAAAAATTAAAATGACAATACGTATCATTTAACCATGGTCAAGCAAGAAATATATGTTTGAAAAAAATGTCTTGCATTAATTATTTTTGTCTAAACATCAAACGCGAATAAATTTTTATTCATCTACGCCGTAAAAAGCCCTTGTTTAGAAAAGGATGAGGATGATTTTGGGGGAGCTTCCAAAGGGAGTCATGTGAGTTTGTTTGTTGGCAAGTTAAGTTTTTCCGACTGATTCTAATTAGGGGTGTTAAATGGGCAGGTCGGTTGGATATGAGCGGGTTAAATACGGTAATGCAAAAACGGATAAACTATTTGACTCGACCCATATTTAATACAGATAAAAAGTGAGTTAACCAACGGATAATGTGGATATCCATATTATCCATGACTTCTTGAATATGATCACTTTTGGGAAAATTCTTAGTCTCCCAAATTTGAGTAACCCCAAATTTGAGTCTTTGCAAAGGTAAAAGGTAAACTCATTAGTTATCCATTAGCTATGTATTTATTAAGTGGATAATATGAATCTTCTCCGTATTTGACCCATTTTAAAAAAAGTATATTGTGAGTTGCTCTAGTGGTGAGCACCCTCCACTTCCAACAAAGAGGTTGTGAGTTCGAGTCACCCCAAGAGCAAGGTGGGGAGTTCTTGGAGGGAGAGAGCCAAGGGTCTATCGGAAACATCATCTCTACCCCAGGGTAGGGGTAAGGTCTGCGTACACACTACCCTCCCCAAACCCCACTAATGAGATTATACTGGGCTGTTGTTGTTGTTGTTGTTGTTGTTGTTGTTGTTATTGTATCCAACTCATTTTTTTAGTGGATATGGATGGATATATAACTGTTTTCTTTATCCATTTTATCACCACCAATTCTAATAGTAGGATGTAACCAGGGGCGTATCTTGGGGGTTTCATGGGGCATGTGAATCCATACTCCCCGCCCTAAATCATGTATAGTAATGTTATATTTTTTAAAAAAATATTTAAATATATGTGTGCACCGATGCTCAAAGTATTATATGATGTGATGGTTATTGAGTGTACCTTTCTAGGTGAGGTTATGAGTTCAAATCTTATGTCAATCTTGTTGTTTTATTATTTTTTGCGCATTAATTAAGCACTTTTTCCTTTTATTTCTTTTTTTGTTTGGTTAATTCTTTCAAAATTTTCACACATTGAAATTTCTATTCTTCTTTTGTCGCCGTAAAATCTTATATGATTAAACGAAATATGTATATTAAAATTGTTAGCAGTGTATGATGTAGCATATAGTCAACTGATCTCAATATTTTCAACATGAAAAATAGATATAGAGGTAAGAAAATTACTATTTTAAAAAATAAAAATTTGAACTTATAATTCCAAAAGTGTAATGGGTACGCAATCGTAAGAACTAAAAGTTGAACCCGTAAAATTTATATTATGGATCCACTTCTTCTTAATAGTACACCCATCCTGCCAAAATTCTAGATCCGCCTCTGAATGTAACTTGCTAATTTTTGAATATTTCAAGGACATTTTTGTTCACAAGAATAACTCTAAGGATGTAATTCAAGTTTGTTTATATTTAAGGATATTTTGACTAGAAAACTCAAGAAATATAATTTAGGTATTTGTGTGGCAACGACGAAGCAGACGTAAAATTTGGAAAATTTGTCTCAAATAAGACGAAGTTGTAATATCGAAATTCTACAGCCATTTGTAAAGCAAGAAAAATCTCGCAATTTTCAATTTAGACCGTACCTCGGCACCTATTTCAAGATTGGAGGGTAGTTTGAGTAACGTAGTCGGCATAGGCACTTAAGTATTTAAGTACATTGATTTTCCTTGCAATAATGACCAAAGGAAAAATCGACAATAATTCGAAGCACCAATANTATATATATATATATATATATATATATATATATATATATATATAAATGTATTAAATAACAACAATATACTAGTGAAGTCTGGCAAATGAGATCTAAGGAGGGTAATGCATATGCAAACCTTACCCCTATATACGGTGTTGTTGTGGAAATTGCTTGGAAAATCTGTAAAGCTCAGGAGGGATAGCACCAGAGAGAGATTATCTTAATGAGCTTAATTAACACTATTTAGGCTTTCTTTTTTGACTATCGATCTGTAGCGCTATCCATCCTGAGTTTTATGGCTTCTTCATGCTGTCTTTTGGTTCATGTTACTGTGCTTTCAATGATATTTTATTGTTTTGTTTTTTAAAAATGACTTAAGTTATATACAAATATATTGTAGATGTTTATATACCACAGTATAGTTAGTCAGTTGTCAAGGACGACTCAATAAAATATGTGGCCTAAAGCAGAAGGTTAAAAAGAGTCTTTGCTTAATAGGAGTAGAATCTTTATATAGTTTATTTGAAGTTTATTCTTAGGGGTCGTTTGGTACACGGGATAAGGTGGTATAAAGTGTGGTACTAAATTTATACTATGTTTGGTTGATGATATAAATTTATACCGTCAACCAAACATGGTATAAATTTAGTTCTAGACTTAATCCTGGATATCTCATCTTATTCCACTTTATCCCATCAAACTTGGTATTATTTTATTCCACCTCCCAGGTGAGATAAATTAGTCTAGAGATTATAATCCCAGGACTATTAATCCCGGGATAATTTAGTCTGTGTACCAAACGACCCCTTAGGGGGAGGGGTCGTTTGGTATGTGGACTAAATTATACCACATGGAAGGTGTAATAAAATAATTCCAAATTTGATGGGATAAGGTGGGATAAGATGGGATATCCTGAATAAGATGTGAGATTAAATTTATACCGGTTTAGTTGGCGGTATAAATTTATACTCGTACCAAATGACCCCTTATTGTTTCTTAAAATATAAAGTACTCAAATTTTTGAAGGACCTAGAACAACTAGTATAAAGGCTTGGGGGTTAAGCCGCCCCTATTATATGGTTGTATCTGGTTTAAATGCGTATTTGCAATGGCGGAGCCAAAATTTTTATCAAGGGGTGTCAAAATATAAAAAATTAGATACACCAAAAAGTCAAGGGAAGTTAACTTATAGTAAATATATATAAAACAGAAAAAATTATCTAGCAATACAGTTTAATGTTTTGGCGAAGGTGTGTCGATTGACACCCCTTGATTGAATGTGGCTCCGTCACTGCGTATCTGCAGTTAAATTTTTAAACTGATCTGATTATATGAATATTTTCTGCACCATCAATTTATATAAACTTAAACTCTGAAGGAGGCATATGATTAGCATGAGCGATAGATGAAGATAGTGTTTTATTCATATCTGGTGCAAAGACTAACTGGATATACACTTCTGCTATAGTATTTTGTTTGTTGTGCAGTAAAGGGAATCTGGCAACATTGGGTCACTACGAAAACAGACAAGTATCCAATTGTATGTGCTTCAGCTTATCGCATTGTTGTTCATTTTAAATCTTATGTTACTACCAATGCAATAATTTGGCAAGTTCTCCTGGTGTGTGACTTGCAGTTAATTATGTTACTGATGTCTTTTTGACAATGCTCATTACCTACAAATGAAGGCAGAACCAGGCTTATCATTAGGCAGGGTGGTGTAAGTTGCTGACCGCAGCGTAAGCATATACAGTCACACCTCTCTATAGCAGCATCTCTATATAACAACCATTCACTATAAAAATCAAGTTTCTTTTAGAACCAATTTCCAGGATAGGCAATGTTGTGAACCAAGGTATTGAACCAGCAGACAATATGCCAAGTCTTTTTGTTTGTTTTGCTAAGGAGCAGTCTGGAACCTTCCCCCTTCTTCAATTTTTTCCTTTCTTTTAGTGTTTATCTTACTTTTTGAGTCCATTGTAAGCAGATTTGCTAAGTTTGAGATTGAATCAAAGAAGTTTCCTGTTATTGAATCAATTATCTCTGATAAATTCATAACATGTTATAATATATTCTTTATAACAGCACTTCGCTATAACAACCAAAAAAATCTGGAACAAACAAGGTTGTTATAGAGAAGTTTGACTGCGAAGCTGGTCTTTGTCAATGCTCTAGATCTTTGTCTTGCCCTATCTTGGACTCTGGATTTCTGGAGGTCTATTCTGCAGGCACATTGAATTCATCAGTATAATGTCTGAGATTAAACAGTTAGTAGATGCCATCGGTCTTTTCATTGGACATTGTTTTCGTGAGGCTAATGAGGTTGCGGACAGAATGGCCTATTTAAGCCACCCACTGGAGGAAACTCACATTTATAACTACTTGCAGACAATGCCAAGGCAAGTGAAAGGATTACTCAATGTTGATAGATGGCAATTTCCATCTTTCCAAATCAAGAAGAGAAGGTCTAATTCTCTAGAATGTGAGCCACCTTGAACATCTCACCTTATTACCACTTCTTAGAGTCATTGTTATGTGTTGTTCAATATTTTGTCTCAAAGTCAGGAGTTTGCTGTGTCAAACTCACAAATTGTAACAGAATGCCAGGCTATCCCCTCCTTCTACAAATCACTTTTTGCTCTTCATTGTTATGTGTTGTTCAATATTTTTCTCCATAAGAGCTTGCAAATTTTCTCTAATAATTCCTTCACCAAACCAAACAACATTAGTCCCTTAGTTCTACCTGGTATACTCGGTGCTCTCTTTTCATCCCACCATTAACTGTCTACTGAAATTGGTGGCACACATATACTCTGCACTTTATCCAACCCCTGCCTCTCTTCCCTTCTCTCTCACTGTTTGCGTTTACTATGGCTTGGATTCTGAGGACACATCCATGGATCCTTATAGTGGTGTAATTTTCGAACATTTTACTAGCCTTCAATGACCAGTTGCATATCAATATTTCAATAAGATGCGTACTTTGACCTCCGCCTTCATTATGTATAACTTCAAGAAGTAATATGATCCCCCCTATAACAAGAATGATGAGCAGAAAACCAGCAAGACATCCTTTCTAACGCACTCAAACATATGCTTATGTTTTGTTCATTGACTAATAATTTGAGCTATCCTAATCTGAAACTGTACATGATTGGTGATACAAAAGAAGACAACTCTTTGACAGTGTAACAACAAGGTTATCAAAAAAAAAAACAGTAAGAGGTCTAGAATAGAGGATTAGAACATCAAAAGTCTCTTCTTCTTTTCCTTTTGAATTCTATGAAGAGTGATAGACTATATATGTGGCGAATAGAAGGCTGACTTTCTGCTTACAAAAAATGGTATGCATTCTAACCTAAAAACTTTCTAATCTCTAGTGTAGCAGACTATATAAAACAAATTACAAGGATGATGAAACGAAACAGTAAGTTCTTATAATTAATGAACATCATCAAGAAAGGATTATATATCAAAATCAAAGTTAAAGACAGACAAATCTTTGATACTATCCTCCGGTTGCCAACTAATCGAAGAATTCGTATCAGCTTGGTTGCTAATAATTCCATCTGTCTGCTGGTCAATTTGCTGGTTGTATGTACAATCAAATTGCTCCTCATTCTTCACATTGTTTAGTTCAGCAGAATCTTGAGGGACAATCATTGGCTTGAAATCAAATGATTCCTCTAAAAACTTCTGAAATTCTTCATTATGGTTCTCTGCCAAACAAAATGTGCCTGTTACTTTTGTTGCTTCGGTTGAAGAATCGTCTTCCATTAGCCAATGCTCCATGTATTCTAGACGCCTGCAAAAATCTTCACTCGGGTTTTCAGTAGACCTGAAATCCAATGGTTGTTCTTGCAATATATTCAGATCCTGTGGCTTCACATCTGTCGTCTCCTCGTTCGTAATGTGCAAACTGTTTGAGACTTCATACGAGTTCAGGCGTTCCAAATCTTTATCATGTACAAACCCATCCTTCTCGATTTCTTCCTTTATAAGTGTCTCAACTTTAACACAACAACTTGGAGACTTAGAATCAGTTCTAGAACTGCATCCTGAATCGTTTAACTCGTTCTCGTAATCCTCCTCTAGCATTACACCTGATTTCTCAGTCAAACAACAACAAGAAGAATGTTGCTTTTCATCTGCTGTAACTACTGATGTTGCAAAAGTGGACTGATCAACTCTAATCTTTGTATCTTCAGCACCTGAATCCTCATGATCAACAGATGATTGATCAGTCGATTCGAGTGAAGATGTTCGAGCAATGTTAACAATACTCGACGAGTCATTCTGTACACAATAATTCGGGAAGTTAAGTATGGCATTAGAACCATACATAACCTTAGCAGCTTCATCATAAGCAAGAGCAGCATCAACAGATGTAGAAAAAGTACCGAGCCAAAGACGTTTACCGCTAGTTTTATACTGACCACTATTATATACAGGTTCTCTAATTTCAGCTACCCACTTTCCCCATATCCTTTGTCTAACTCCTCTGTAAATACAACCTGAATTCTCAGGACCGCCTTTTCCGCGCATACAACCTTTTCTTGATCTCTTAACTGGGATTTTTCTCTTTTTTTTTACTTGTACATCTTCAGTGCTAGAATTAAGCTCCTCATAATGATTTTTCCACTTTAACAAAATTTCCTCTAGAGAATCACATCCATTGCGCCTTCTTTTCTGTTTCCTGTTTGCAAAAGAAGCCATAATTTTATTTTAAATAAAGATTAGAAAGAGGCTATTAATTAACTACAAGAATTGTACTATAGTGGCAAGTAATTGCAGCGAATACTAAGTACTACAAAGTTGGCAGTTGTTTTAGTATTTTAAAAAGAAAATCACCTTTGAAGAATGTGAGAAGACATGTACGTCAAAGGTGTTAATTTATAAATCTGATTTGAAGTCTTGTTATTTGCTTTGGCCAATGGAATATTTGTCGCGCGCTCTCCTTGTTTGGGTGTATTTATATAGTTCAGTTTTACTTCTTCAAATCCTTTTCCTTGTCAAATTGGGTTTCACTATTTCACTTATTTTGGGAAAATAAATACTCCTACTAAATAAATAACGTGCTATTTTGGTACTTAGTGTAAACGTGTGCTGATTTAAGAAGGAATGTGGGCGAATTTTGGGGCACATAGGAAACTTAAAACGGTTTTTGTTTATGATAATGCTTTGGTTGGCTGTCTTTATTTTTTCTTGGCGACCACGGAATTTGTCTTTTCCTGTCTCTTTCCAGATTAGAGATCTTTCATTTTCAACCAACACAAATCATAATAAATTGCGGCTATTTGTTTCTTGCGCGCAAAGAAAGAAAGGCAGAAGAATAATATAGTAAGGTAACTGATCAATATTACATCCATCGGCAGAGACGCCTTCACTTCATTTTGGTCGAAAATTCACAAAAACATATACTCCTATATAAATAGAGTAATATTTTTCTTAAAAATTGGAAAATATATAATTGGAAATACGGGTGTACATGGATCGAATTGGTTCGCTTTTTATTAAAACTAAATCAGACCAACTATAACTGTTTGGATTGATTCGGTTTTATCGGATTTTTCGGGTTTTTCAGATTTTTTTATTACATGAATATTATTTCAATCTTAATTTATTAAATTTTTAGTAAAGGTTGAAAAAATTGACAAACATATGATCGAAAAAAATTGACAAACATATGATCTATTAAAATAATTTTATAGGAGAATTTTGTTAATAACACATGATAGTTACTTTTTTAGTCGTCAGACAATAATTTTTCGTTGATGTATACTTTCAAGGTTAAACGAATTTACTAATTAAACGTAAAAATTAATATGATACCTAATTAATGATATATTCTATTTAATGTTAGATTGTCGAAATACCACTTCAAATTCGAAAAAGATATAAGAATTTAATAAATCTTGACATATGAACATGGAAGAATAAAGAGATTGATGCATTTCAGAAACACTTGATAAAAAAATGATCATATAACCCATTACTTAAGGTTAATAAAAATTGAGTACTTCATATTCTATTAAATATTACATCCCATAAGAGAATCCCAAATATTTTTAGAATTTTTGTAAAGAGAATTCTATATAAGGTTTTAAAAATATATATAAAAATTATATATATTTATATATCGGTTTGGTTCGAGTTTTTTACTCAATACCAAACCAAATCAAACCAAACATAGTCGGATTACGTATTTACTCCATTCTTTTGTCGAATTATTAATTGTTCAGACAAGTCAAATAGAGTTGATCTTTACAAGTCAAATTATAGTAACTTACGAACGAGCAATTTTTAATGGCAAGGCCAACAGTTTCAACGTTTGATATAATATGTAGTAGTATTCAATACTATTAAATATACTTCGCACCCAGTATATCTCCAAATAAAAATAATTTGATAAAGCTGAAAACAATTCCTGCAAAAATATGGTCCTACCACTATATCCAAATGCTTCTTTATCTATCTATGTTTCAACCTTGTCTCATAAAAGAAAATAAAAAAAAGAATATTTACCCGAAAAATCGGATAGAGTTAAATTTGTGTATGGTTTTAAGGACACATGATATAACTTGATACAAATTGTAGAGTGAAATGTAGAAATCTCTATATTTAGGTAGATAATAAGGAAATGTTGATGAACAAGGCAACGTAATCCCCCCTAAATGTGTTAACATCCCCCTCTTATATTAGAGGGATCCTACTTTATCTATAATAATAAAAATATATAGTGGAGGACCCACGATGAATTATCTTTTCCTCGATTTTCGCCAAGATTCTCTCCCATAGTGCAGTTGCAACGGCTCTTGTCTGCGAGCTTGATACTGGCTCGAGCTCGGTAATGGATCGAGCCCTCGGCCTTGGTTCGAGGTCGATTCTTACTTGGGGTCTCGATATTCGGGGTGAGTGTTGGTCAGTCTATGCATCTTCGATAATCTCCACTTTGCCTCGTAGTTCGATTTGGATATGAGCTCGATAATGATACCGAGCTTGTCATTGATTGGTCTTAGAGCTCGAAGCTCGACTCCCTTACTTCGGATCTCGATCGAGCTTGTCATGCAAATACCCTTTGATCAAAATATTATCGTCTCGACCAGTCCGTATGACTGACTCAATCGGTTTTGACCGTACACAAATAGTTCCCTCGTTTCTCGAAAAAGGATGTGGCGAGAAACGATATGATTTTCCAACAGGTCGATCAGATATATGCTGATGTTTACATCGATCCCGACCATGACGTATGTGATAGTTGTCCCATCAGTTCGATTTTACCAAGGCATTTAATGTGTGTCAGACGGTGATCGGCCACCGCTGATATTGAATCGCCATTGCTTCAATCCATAAATAGCCTTTCCTTCCACTATTCATCACTTTTACGTCTTCAATCTTCCAAATTTTTTAAGTTCCTTTTCGTCTTTTCTAAGTTTTCTGCCTGTAAATCTGTGAGTTTTACTGCAAACTCTTTCTTAAAACACCAAATACTCACGTTCTTTGTTCACGAAATTTTAAATGGCAAAAACGTCTAAAACTGTTCCGCAAAAAGAGACCGCTTCTTCATCTCGACCTGCTGGTGGCGAGGATGTGGAAGAGCCCCGCCCTTAGGAATTCATTCTGGTAGGGTGTTCGACTGTAGGTGATTTTAAAATTGAAAAGCCTTCTCCGATACCGGGTCGGT